ACACTACATTTGATAAAACAGTACAGAACAGGAGACAAAGAACAGGGGATAAGGAAAGAATGAAACCATCTGGACACATGATCTAATTAACCCATTGTCACTGCAGGGTTTTGTAAATCTGCGGATGGTCATGATCAGGGCTGAATATCCTAAGGTGTATCAATACCTCCATGAAGAAAAGCAGAAACATTTAGAGACCCTGGCAAAGGAAGGCAAGATAATTTTTCAGCACCTCAAGAGAAGCGAAGCGAGAATGGCTGAGAGGGGGATACTCCTGAAAGAAATGTATGAGGAGCTGAAGAAAATGTGCCATAAAGCTGATGTGGCCCTGCTCCAGGTAAGGACTGAGGAAAGAAGTCAGGGTACTGAACACCAGCCTGCATGAGAGTCATTTGTACCTGCTGGAGTCTGCATCCTGTTTGATCTCTGTTATTTTTCTGGTTCTTCAGTCCAGATTCTGCCTGTTCTGACTTTGTAATAGCAGGTTTTACTCCTCCAGTGTAACCTGTAGACCCAGTCTCACTCTTGCCTTATACTGTAGAAGGAAAAATATGTGGAAAGATTCCAGCAGCAGATCCAAGAAAATCCTTTCTAAACTTTTCCTGCTGTATTTACAGTTTCTTNCCCCCTCTCTCTCTCTTTATAGGATTTGGGAGACATAATAAAAAGGTAAGTTTGCCCCTCTATCCAAATCATGGTGATTACGACAGTGATCAGGCTGTTCCTGCTGAGAGACCCACACATTTTAGTGAGAAATTCATTTCTGTCTTATTTATTCCTTCCTTCTCTAAAAGTCATCCAGGCTTTATACTGCCTCACCTCAGATAAAAGGGAAGGATGGGGAGCAGTTTCGTTTGCAAGCCTTAATATAAAAGTAGCAGTAAGACAACTTTTTCCTTCTTCTAATTGTCAAAATCCTAATTGGAAAAGGCAAAAATCTCAGAGAGGCAGCAGGTAGNTTCCAGCAGCAGATCCAAGAAAATCCTTTCTAAACTTTTCCTGCTGTATTTACAGTTTCTTGCCAACTGCAATGCAGCAGATTGTGAATATATAATTTTGTACCTGGACTTGTCAATATGTGAAAATGTGGGATTTATATAATTTATTTGCTCTTTCAGTTTTCAAGTTCTAGTTTTGGGGCCCACATACCCTAACAAGGACTTTGGAGAGACTTCTGTCAATCTTGCTGTAGATTACCACACAGTAGAGCATCTTCTTTACCCTTCCATTTTTTTAACCTAAGAACAACTTCAGACTTTACATTTTATCAACTCTATGCAGATGTGAGACTGAGTTTCATTGTTGTAAGGATTAAGAAAATGACAAATGACTTTACCTAAAGAAGGAAAGCAGAAATACTGAGTTTTTCAGTCCAGAGCGATATCCTCAGACTACCGTGGACAGGAGAACCGTCTTCTGCTTTAAACTAAGCCTTCCCCC